AATCGAAGCATAAAACCAGTAACGAGCACGGAGCGTGAAGAAAACCTCAGTAAGAGGAGCGCTGAGGGCGGAGAGAAGAGGTAGGGGAGAATGCAAAAGGTACGCTGGCGCTACCTCTTGATCGATGTTGGAGTTGGAATGAAACAGAAACCCTAGATTAGGGTTTATAATTATATAATAAGGAGAACAAAAAAATACGGGTTTTTGTCCGTGCCAACCCGCTTATGCTAAAGTTTTACGGATTTAAAGCCCAGTAGTTTTGCAGACTAGACTTCGAAAAGGGCTGGTGATACCTGACCCTTCCTATCAATTTCTTTTTTTTTTTTTAAGTTGTCCGATCCTATAATTTTTTTATTTGAATCCCATCCTATATATATTCTATCTTATAAGAACGAGGGAAAGTTGGATAAATTTAAAAAAAAAAAACAAAGGGAAAGTGATTCTTGCTAATGAAGAAAGTTTTTACAAATAAAATTAGAGACGGCAATTGCGCTCAGGAAGTTGGGACATTTCTGTTTTTGTAAATTATAGATACAATGATCCCTCTGGGGGGTTTTTCATGGTGGCAATTTTTTGCGAGGATCTTTTGCCCCCCACAATCTATATTATAATATTAATTTAATTATTTTTTATTATTTTAAGCACACTTTTAAAAAACTGTGTTAATGTCAAAAAAATGTTTTAGGTTGGGTTTGATTTAGAATAATTAAGCTTTAATACTGAGTTAAAATTAAAAATGATAAATAGGTATAATTTATGATTATAAGTTAAATATTTAAATTTGGGTTGAATTCATATTATATGACTCAAATTTAGCATCGCATAATTTCAGTGAAAAAAATTATTATTAAAATAATTAAATTATTGGTGATTGTGAAACAACTGGTCATTACATTTTTTTAGATTTATGGAGAAATTAAATATTTTTTGGTTTGTTATAGTCATACTTAGCTGACTGAATTGATACTAACATTTATAGTATTAATTCTAATATTAGTTTTCTTCTCAAATTTCAATGAAGGCCCTTTTGAGGGTAATGGGTGATTGATTTCTGTGGGAAAATTTTGCTGCTCAATAAAACACTTACTTTCAGCCAATTTAAATGTTAGTGACTTTCATTGACATGTTCATAAATTTTCATGTTTACATTTTACGATTTAACTTAGTGTACTAAAAGATATGATTGATACATGGTGTAGTGTATAGATTTTGTATTATGGATAGAAATACCTCTTATACTTTATTTTAATTAAATTTTTATTTGGTTGATTAAAACAAAGAAAAAAAAACCTTTCAAAAAGGCTTTGTTTCATTTAATTAATTTTTTTATGTAGCTTGTATAATATGAGGTAATTTTCTCACATCCCTTAACTCATCCTACCTGTATGTTATGCGATTTAAACTCAAGACTTTTTATTTTTCGTAAAAGAAAATTACTACTGAAAAAATATTACCATTAAACTATTTAAATCATTGACTCATTTAATTAATTAATTTTTTTTGAACAAATTCGCAAGAGGTCGGATTCGAACCGTTGCCCTGGAGGAGGTGGAAGAATGCACTTATACGTGACCTGACGTCACTGGACCCGAAGGCTCAAGTGCACTTATTTAATTAATTTAGTTGTTTTAAATCAATTATAATTGATATGTAATATCTAACTATTAATAATATTTAAATTATAAGTAATAATAATAATAAATATCAATCATT